CCCGCCCACTAGCGATCGGCTATCGCGTCCTGCCATTGGAGACCAACCAGCAGCCTGGAGACCTAGCGAGATGGGGATACTGCGTCTGGGCGAGGGCTGCGGCAGCCAGTCCGCGCTTCCAGGCCGGCGGGGGCTGAGGCAAACCTCTTGCCCCCCCCTGCGTTCCTCGCCCCGGACGTTTGCAACGCCTTCTAGATGCTGCCAGGGCCGGACCAGCTCGAGCCAGTCAGAGCGACGAGCTGTCGGGCTCGAGTAGGACCCCCGTTCAGGTGGCAGGTTACTAGCGGCCGATGCCAGCTCCGAGCGGATGGGGGTGGTGTGTGGGTGGCCAGTTCCTCAGTCGGAGCAGGGCAGCTTGGCGAGGCGGCCATCTTGTCAGGCCCCAGCGCCTTCTCTCTTTTAATCCCCCGCTGCTGTCCTCGACTTCGTTCTCGAACCTCATCTCGATTTTCCTTTTCGTCGTTTTTCCTTTCCTTCTCCTTTGCATTGTGTTCGGCCATATTTTCGTTGACTGGTGGTAGTGTTTACTGGTCCTCTCTTTCACTCCATTCTTTCCGAGTTTATGATTTTGCATTGACTTATTTTGAGTACAATGGAATCCGGGCATTCAGATCCTCAATAGCAGTCACGCCCATTCACAACAACATAATCCACCCCGCTTTGCTATTGTTCTGCTGCCACCCTTTGACGCTGAATAGACCTTGGCAGCTACTATCAGTCTGTCTAATATTCTGACCTTTCCTGACTCCCCCATGAGTCCCAATCTTTTCACATATCATTTTTGAGCAAAACTTCCTAGAGTCTACCTCTACTTTCGATCTTTATATCTTTTGGATTCTTGTCTCCAAGCGCCAAAATCAGCAATCTACACACCAACACACCACTTTATCCACATCTACCCAACTAATTCGAAAATGGCGTCAACCATGGCTGGCTCGAAGCTGGCACAAAATAGCCATAGTCTCACCCACAGGACGAACCCGCCGTTCCCCGATGCCCCCAGCTACAGCAACGATAGGGACGACTGGGAGGACTGGTCAGACGAAGACCCGTACATGGCAGACGACAGCGAGGAATTGATCGTGGTGCTGGAAGATACCGAGGGCTCGCTGTCGCCGCGGTTGAGGAAGGCCCCTCTTCCGTCCCGCAAGTCTAGCGTGCTGCTTCCCGAAAACGCCTATGCTGCCGCATCGAGACCAACGCGCCTCAAGTCTAGGGCGAGGCAAATGGCCCAGAACAGGGGAGTGGGCATCAAGGTGGTGACGGACATGACAAAGTTCCGCAAGCAGCAGCAGCAGCTGAAGATGTCCGCCGAGGCCGATCCCAGGCATGGGCAGTTTGCCGACATCGCTGCCCTTAAGGCTTTGGAGGGCGATCAGTCTCAATCCTCGGTCGGTAGTTGGCACTGGCTCAAGAAAACACCGACCTCCAAGGTGGGTGGCGGCAAGTCGAGGATGTCGCGACTGAGGGCCGAGGGCGCGTCGGGCTCTGCGCAGCAGGATCTGTCGCCGAGTGATCGCCCCATAATGATCGGCCTCGCCTTTCCATCTGAAGAAGCCGAGAGCCGGGTTGCCGCCAGCCCCCAGAGCTCTCTGGCAGACACACCTGTGGGGTGGCCCGGTAGGAATCAGAGATACCTACCAGGCCAGAGGAACGAGCAGGCGCATATGCGCTCGGTGTGGTCGCCGGACACCGAGGACGCCGACTCGCCGCGAACAGTATCCACTCTCTCCCCGCAGACGGCCAACAGCGGGAGCGCCGCGCGGAATGCGCCTCCCGTTCCCGCCATCCCTGCCGTCCCCGCCGCCGCTCTCAGCTTCAGGGAGAGGCAACGACTCAAGGACGCCCAGGCCGAAGACGAGTATGACGACAACTTCACGCCTGTCACTCTGTTCGAAGAAGATGGGAGCCCGATTCTCTCGCGGAAGCCCACGACCAAATCGACCAAGTCGAGAAAGTCAAGAGGACATGCGAGGTCGCCCGCCACCTCCATTAGCACCCCCGATGGATGGTGGGATCACATCCGGACGCCTTTCATTGAGCAGGGCATCGTCACCCCTGCCATCGAGCAGGCCAGCAACAACCCATTCAAGCCCAAGCCGCATAACCAGGAGACCCAACCGCAAGCCGCCAACAAGAGCGCCGATACCGACGAGTGGTGGGTTGGGAAAGACACCAAAAAAGGCCACCTGGCCGGCGCCACCGAGGCTAGGCCTTTGAGCATCTCGGTGGCTGTTGCAAACATGACGCGGCAAACGGCCAACCAGGAACCGTCTCCGGTAATTCCGTCCTCGTCGAGAGCTACTCCGAACTCGCGGCCCAACGCCAGGTTTGAGACTGGGACTGGCACTCAGGCCTCAGAGAACCCCCCGCAATCTCATTCAGAGAAGGCAAGGATTCTTGTTGAAGAAAACGAGGCACTGGCAGAGCAACCTCCCCCGTACTCACCCCCCAACAAAGAGGGCCCCTTGCGGTACCGGGCCGTATTCCCACCAGGCCACCCCATGTGCCCACAATTCCCGCCTTCCCCAGGACCTGTAACTCCAGGTCTGGCGAACACGATGACCTCCCAGGGCGCTATCAACATGACCGAGGTTCCCTTGACACCGGCGGCGGATCGACCAAGCGCTCAGACCCAGCCCAGGGATGCGCCACTGCCGACCCGCGCTCCTGGGACGTATCCAACCGGCGACCAGTTTCTGGCCGCCGTTGGCAACTCACCAGCGGCGAGGGTGGAGCGGCAGCGGCAGCGGCACGAGAAGGAGGACGCGGTGGCGCACAAGGCCGGTGGCTTCTGGAGAGGGCGTGGCTGTATTCCTGAAAGCGGCTGCTACGGGCGGTCGGGTCGCGAGGGTCGCAAGAGACGCCGGGTGTGGCTGGGCGTCTGCGTGGGTGTGACCCTACTCATTGTGTTGATTGTCGTCCTGCTCGTGCTCCTGCTTCCCAAAAAGACTCAGGAGGCACCGCAAGAGTCCATCTGGCTGAACCTGACCAACTACCCGCCGGTGCCCACGGGCGTCCTGACGGTCGTCGGGGCCGACAACTCGGAGACCGTGACGAGCTGCGTGGCGCCATCGACGCTGTGGAGCTGCACCCTCCCAAAGGACCAACAGGCGGCAAATAAACCGTACGAGGCGAACCAGCCTTCGTTCGTGATCCAGATACAGTTCGACAACAGCACGAGACAGTTTTGGAATGTGCCGGACGGAGCAGCCCCGACATTCACGCCGCTCCCTACCGGACAGGTTAATGACGGGTTCGAGAGGCCAGCACAGACACATAGCCCAGCCATTCCGGAGCCGGATCTGGGCGGCGACCTTTCGAGATTGCGCAGACCGGAGAGGAGGGCGGCCAAGCAGGAAGTTTCGGAGCGGCCTACGCTCACGTCGCGAGCAGCGGCTGGTATTAGGGCGCTACTTATGCGGGATGGTGCTGCGGCAGCCAACCCCAACTTTACGCCTATGCCCGCGCCGCCGTCCTTCCAGGACATGTGGTTCCTCGGAAACACAACGGACAAGATCCGCTCGGAGCGCAAGGCGGGCGAGGTGACTCCCTTCTTCATCAGCTTCCTCCCGTCGCTCAACTCGTCGGCGGGTCCCAACATGCTCGCGCGGCGGGGTCTCGGCAGCGGCGTCTCGTACTTCGATCCGCTCCTCAATAGCAGCGCCGCGCCGTCCGACGTGGACAGGCTCGTACCCAGGCCCGAGGTCAACGCGGACGGCACTCCGGCGCCGGCGCGCATGATCCCGCGGCAGGTACTGCAGCAGCCACTGCGGCTCTTCGACCGGGGCCTCGAGACGGAGCACTACGGCTTCTACACGTACTTCAACAAGACCATCTACGTCAAGTCGCTCCAGGGCCCGACCAACGAGACGGCGCGGCTGGGCGAGGTGCCGGCGGACCGGGACGGCGGGGCGCTGCCGGGCGAGGCCAAGAACGCCGTGGTCTGGGGGTGGACGCGGTTCCACGTGCAGATCTGGACGCGGCGCGGCAACAGCACGCGGCTGCTCAGCCGCGACGGGCGCGCGACCGAGGGGCTGACCGAGAAGGAGGCCTGGGAGGCGCGGCGGCCCGGCACGTTCCCGTACCCCATCACGGTGCGCGAGGACACGCACGGCGGCGACCGCGACGGCAAGGGCACCGTGACGTACAACATCACGGACCGCGGCAAGTTCGACACGGGCAACATTGGGCTGCAGTTCAACAACGTCGGCGCCGGCGGCGAGTGGGTCAACCCGCGTGGGCTGAAATTCAACCCGAGCTACGGCGGCATCGACGGCGGCACGGGCGGCTGCAAGTGCGCCTGGACCAACTTTTTGAACCTCGGCGGCAGCGTCGTCGTGTAGGGGAGAGGGAAGACGACGACGCATGAGTTACGATGAAGAAGGCGAGCCCTGGCAGGCTGAAGAGGATCCGACTTGATATTTTTCCTATTTTTCTCTCTCTCTTTGTGATGTAACCTATAGGCCTGGCATCATGATGCATTTACAGCATAAGCGTTGTGGGGGAGAGGCATCTCCCATGGTCGGAGTTCAGGTGGTGTCGGCTTGCCTACAAAAAGGCCTCGATGGCCGAGGGAATGCTCCATAATTTTTAGATTGTCAATTCTCTGCTGTTGTGCCGGCAGACGGTGAAAGAAAATAACCAGAACAACAAATTCGCAATATCCTCGGATGAGTGTTTCGACCGTGAATAATGTTTGAACAGCAGGCGCGATTCTAGTGCTGCAGCATCCATGTCAGTGAGGAGAGCTTGCTGGTGGATGGTGGGTTGTGCCCAAAGAGGCAATTGCGCACAGGTTCTAGATTTTCAGCGTTACTTCTCCAACACAAGGCTCAAATATCAGCCATGCTTGGATTGATATTCACCCTAGCCTGGACATCAAACGACGATGCCATGACTGCACTCTCTCCCTTCTTTTGATTTTCCCCCATCCTCTCCATGCCCTCGCTCCGTCTCTGCGGGCTCCGCCTGGCCGTCCTGGCCCCAGCCCGGTCAGGGGCAGCAGCACACCTGCAGCCTCCCGTCCGCCGCTCGCAGACGACGCGCCTCTCATCCGTCACCGCCAAGAACACAAGGGATGACAGACCGCCAAGCCCTGTGACAACCCACCCGGGAGGGGCAGGGACGCAGAGCACCGAGACCCGCGCCGCGCTGCCCCTCTTGACGCTGGCCATCGAGACGTCATGCGACGACGCCTGCGTGGCCGTCATGGAGAAGCAGGGCGGCGCGGCCCGCTTGCTCTTCCACGAGCGCGCGACGGCCGACTGCCGCCGCTTCGGTGGCATCCAGCCCGCCGTGGCCGTGGCGTCGCACACGGCCCGCCTCCCGGGCCTGGTCGAGAAGGCTCTGGGGCACCTGCCGCCGCCGCCGCCGCCGCCGCCGCCGCCGCCGCCGCCCGACCCGTTAGCGGGGGTACAGCCGGCGAGGACGTTCCGCCACGCCGGAGACGGGCTCACCCGCCGGGTCCCCGACTTCGTCAGCGTCACGCGCGGGCCCGGCATCCCGACCGCCCTGGCCGTGGGGCTCAACCTGGCCAAGGGCCTGGCGGCGGCGTGGCAGGTGCCGCTGGTCGGCGTGCACCACATGCAGGCCCACGCCCTGACGCCGCGTCTGGTCTCGGCCCTGGCCAACAGCGAGTGCCCGTCCTCCTCCGCCGCTGCCATCTCGCCCGCCTTCCCTTTCCTGACGCTGCTTGTGTCGGGCGGGCACACGCTGCTCGTGCGCAGCGGCTCCCTCGCCGACCACCGCGTCCTCGCGCAGGCGCACAACATCGCCATCGGCGACTGCCTAGACAAGGCCGCGCGCGCCATCCTGCCGCCGGCGTGGCTGCCCGCCGAGTGGGTCGAGAAGCAGCGGCTGCTCCCGGAGGAGGAGGAGGAGGAGTCACGAAGCCGACATCATCATCAGCAGCACCCCGGGATCGAGGGCAAGAGCTTCGGCGAGCTGCTCGAGCGGTTCGCCTTCCCCGACGGGCCGGCCGGCTACAACCACCCGGACGGCGATTGCTACTACCGGCCGCCCGCCAGCCGCGCCGAGGAGCTCCGCACGCTCCGCCACAGGCGGCCCGCGCCCAACGGCGTCGGCCTGGGCGACACGTACGCGTGGGCTCTGTCGCCTCCGGGGGGCGAAGGGAAGAAGATGGAGTTTAACTTTTCCGGCTTCCTGGGCTCCGTCATCGCCGTCGTGCAGAAGCGCACGCAGGAGGGGAGGGATCTGCTGCTGGCCAGGGCCTCTGACGCACCGACGGCTGCTACGCCCGCCGCCGGGCCCCCTTCTCCAGAACACGTGGCCTCCCATGCGGAATCTCCCTCGGCTGCTTCCTCCACAGACCCGTCGCACGCGGCATTCTGCAACGCCGAGCGCCGCGCCCTGGCCCGCGAGGTGATGCGGCTCCTGTTCGAGAACCTGGGCTCGCGCGCCATCATGGCGCTGCAGGAGGAGCGGCGCGCCCTGGCCGAGGCGACTGCAACTACGACCACGACTACGACCACGACGACGCAGACGCTCGTCGTGTCGGGCGGGGTCGCGAGCAACAGCTTCCTGCGCCACGTGCTGCGCGCCATGCTGGACGCGCGCGGCTTCGGCCACGTCGGCGTCGTCGCGCCGCCGGCGTGCCTCTGCACCGACAACGCCGCCATGGTCGCCTGGGCCGGCGTCGAGATGTACGAGCGCGGCTGGACGACCGACGGCGCCGTGCTGGCCCTCAAGGAGTGGGGGCTCGACCCGGACGGGCCCGACGGCGGCGTCATGGGACCTCCCGGATGGGTCCGCTTGGGGACGGAGGAGGAGGCCTGATGGTGACTGACGGGCTCGGGGGGCTTTACAGGGGCTTTTTTTCTTTTCCTTTTTGGTGTGTGTAAGATATAGGTGTTCAACATGGACATTATGGGATGTGTCGGACAAGTAAAGCCCGCCATCTTCTGTAGGAGCACTACCGACCGTATGTGGTGGTGTCATGTATTATAGATAAATACCCAGATAAAAGCACCCCGTCATTTGATTGTCGAATGTGCCTTTGCCAACATCGAACACACAGAATCACCCATGGGCTCTAGAACTGAGGATTGGATGGGGGGAGGGGAGGGGAAAAAGGAAAACATCTGCGTCCTGATCATCGGTTGGTATTTTGCAGACCGCTAAAGCCCGCCCGCCTCTCTCCCTTCCCTTCTCAGAGCTGGACCAATGCGCCAGGGTCTTTGGCCGAGCACTGTGGAAATGAGGAGGCGAGGTGAGGAGAAGAAAAGTCAACAGACGCTGTTTATCTATCTGTAGCTTTCCTATCCACAGCGTCCTGAGCTTTCGTCCAGTCATCAACGCAAACTTTCCCGGTCCTCCCGTGTCCCTGCTGGGCCCCGATCATCGTAGAGCTTCAGAGGACACGTGGGCCATGCAAAAAGACAGACCAGTTTAATTCTCTACTCAAGCTCGCTCGTGACGTTGGTGAATTCGCCCTTGCCCAGCTTGGTCTTCCAGAAGATGGGGTTGGTGTCGTTGAAGCCGTGCCTCACCCAGCCCTCCTCCTTGACGTGGTATAGGTTGATGAAACCACCCGAGTAAGCATCACGGTGAGTGGCGGCGAGGATGCTGCGGCGTCCCAGCTCGAGGGCGTCCTCATCTGAGAGCTCGTAGTTGTACTCGGCGTCGAGGACACCGTAGGCAAACGTCTGACCGGAGCCGACGCAGAACAGGTTCCCAGAAAGCCTGGTGCCGTCGCTGTCAATGTAGTAGAGAGCGGGCCCCTCCTCCTTGGTGACGCCGGCGCACATGGTACCCATGCTCAGACCCATGCCCTTGTACTGGTAGACCAGGTTGGCGAGGATCTTGGAGGCGGCGGCGACCGAGATGCGGCGCTTGTGGCGCAACTCATGCAGGCGGCACTGCATGCCCAGCCAGGCGAGCCAGTACTGGCAGTCGGCGGCGCCACCGGCCATGGTGCCCAGCAGGCATGAGTTGATCTCGATGACCTTCTTCACCGTCTGCGAGGCGATCCAGTTGCCGGCCGTCGCACGCGAGTCGGTCGCCACGATGATGCCGCCCCGGAAGCGGAAGGCGAGCGTGGTGGTGCCGTGCGCGATCTTGATGGGGCAGTGCGGGTTTGCATGGTCGTCGGTTGCGGCGCGGAGCCAGGCTGAGGGCTGGCGGCGGAGGGGAGAGAGGCGTCAGCGACCGTATGCCTCTGCGGGCTGTCGAGCAATAGCGGCCCTCCGAGGGGATGGCGGGGAGGGGTGACATACATGTGCTACGGGCGGGACGGCGAACTTGAGCGACAGGCTGGGCACCGAGTCACAGAGGTCCTGCTGTTCGTCTTCGGCAAAGCTCTCATTCTGCTGGTAGGCCGGCCGGCTGTACTTGGCCACTAGAGTATCCATCGCGGCGACTAGGTCGGTGGTATTATCTGCAGCCCGCTCGGCTCCGTCGATCACGATCGGGGCTTTGGACTGGGGTTGGGATTCTCGTCCCAGCTCCTGGAACCAACAGGGGTGGTCGGAATGACAGCAGCAGGAGAGGCGAGTCAAACTCCCAAAAGACACTGGAGTTGGTTGGCGGGTTGGGCTGTTCTGGGCGGATGGTGATGGGTCCAGAGAGCGGCTGTCGTCAAGCTCTCAGGGCCTCATGCATTGATGCTCCATTGCGAGAGCTTAAGCTCAGGCAGCCCCCCAGCACGCGTCCCGCAGGTGGCTTGCAGTGCCAGGCTGTGGTAGCTGGTTTCAATTCGATGCCTTGGTGCCTGAAAGTCATGTCCCACTTTTACACACCAGCAGCTTATGTCATGGCCCAGGGGCAGCTCGATTACGATGTTCGGTCTGTTCCAGCAATACGGTGGGTTATTCTCAAGTCATGGAACAGTGACACGAAATCCTGACCCACTCGGCCGCCCTGCGCCATTCCATGCCCCTGCAACGCCTGCCAGTTTTTGATGGGCCATGACTGTCGTTGCCGCGTGAGAGTTCGTGCAAACCCTGGCACGGTCTTGATTTTACGGGGTTAAACGAGCGTGGAAAGGCGGGCAAGAATAGGTACCTGTCCAAAGACCAAACAGAGTGCGGTGGAGGGAGCGCCAAAGATTTGAAACTGTTTTTAATAAAAGCACAAAAGCTAGACACACGCTAAGCCTTGTATGGAGACCTCCTTATCCAGCGGGGCCCGACGGGATGTTCCAGGATGTGAGAACGGGAGAAAAAAAAAGGGACCCAGAATAATACATTTAGCCACCTTGAAGGCCCAGGGTCGTTCTCGCGAAACACAAGTCGCATGAAGCCAACATTTCCCATCGCCAACCATTGCGAACCGCCATTCCCACAGGCCCTTTACAGAGCGCCTGCCTGCACGCGGTCAGGCTCGTAGTGTGTAGGCCATTGCGATCATTCCTGTTCCTTGGATTCTTGTCGCTCCTTTCAGCTCCGTTTTTGCAGTCCGGTAGTCAGCCTCCAGGCCCACACCCACTTACGCCAACCGTCGATTCTCATCTCTTGCCTAGCCGGTTTCTCGACGTCGTCGTCTTGTTCTGGTCGAACCAGAGGCCATCGCGCCCGTCGCCGCCTTCCGTGCCGCCACCCCTTGCGACGCCGGGCCATCTATGCATCCCGTTGCGACGCCGCTTAACCCCCGAGGCTAGCCGCCGCCCTCCCCCAGACAGAACGTCACCATGGCGCGACCGCTCGGCCCCGTCCGCATGAAGAAGACGAACCCGGTCACGCTAGTGATCGGCTTCGTGCTCTGCATATTCATCCTCTACTTCCTGGCCAGCCCCTCTGGCTCCGCCGTCACCTCCAAACTCCCCATCCGGAAGAGCGAGCCGGCATCACATGCGCTCTCGCCCCCGACATCTCCTTTCCGCAAGAATGCCGCCTCGGGTCCCAAGAATCCGCCGCCAGTGACCCGCTACCAGCTCAACAATGTCACGACTACCCCTACCCCCATCGAGAACCGTGAGCACGTTCTCATCCTAACCCCCATGGCCCGCTTCTACCAGGGCTACTGGGACAACCTGATGCAGCTCAACTATCCTCACGACCTCATCAGCCTTGCCTTCATCCTCCCCAAGAACAAGGAAGGGAACGCCGCCACCGTGGCGCTTCAGGCACAGGTGACCAAGACGCAACAGGGGTCCGAGGCCCAGCGCTTCAAGAGCGTCGCTATCCTCCGCCAAGACTTTGATGCGCCTCTCCAGTCGCAGGATGAAGCGGAGCGCCACAAACTTGAGCACCAAAAGGCGCGGAGGGCCGCCATGTCCAAGGCGCGCAACTCGGTGCTCTTCACTACCCTGGGTCCCGACATCTCATGGGTGCTGTGGCTGGACGCCGACATCATCGAGTCCCCTCCGTCGCTGATCCAGGATCTGGCCAAGCATGACCAGGCCGTTATCGCCCCCAACTGCTTCCAGCGCTACAAGGACGAGCAGGGCAAGATGGCAGAGCGCCCTTACGACTTCAACAACTGGCAGGATAGCGACAGGGCCCGCGAGCTCGCCGCCAAGATGGGCCCGGACGAGATTCTGGTCGAGGGCTACCAGGAGCTGGCCACCTACCGTGCCCTCATGGCATACATGACCACCGAGGATGGGCCGCACTACGAAATCCCCCTAGATGGCGTCGGCGGAACTGCCCTGCTTGTCAAGGCTGAGGTCCACCGCGATGGTGCCATGTTTCCGCCTTTCTCCTTTTACCACCTCATCGAGACTGAGGGTTTCGCCAAGATGGCGAAGAGGTTGGGCTGGCAATCTGTCGGCCTTCCTAACTACAAGGTGAGCTTGGCACGAGACTGACTCCTGGTGGCGAGTGTTAGCCCATAGGGCCATCTGCTAATTTTGAGCTTGAATACAGGTTTATCATTATAACGAATAATAATCGAGCCGGCGCCGAAGCGGTCACGACGGATATATGCAGCCGCCGACGATCTCAGAAAAGAGACGAAGAAGATATGGCAGCCATGACATTTTTGGGACCTATATCAGTGATATTATGTGTGTTCATATCTGGCTATGATGATGGCCAACCCCAGCGAAAAAGGGGGTTTCGTGTGTTTGTGCTTCCCCGATGGGCACTTAAGAGGGCGAGCTCGAGACGATCATATGCGTCTCCGCCATTGTTGGGAGTTCTCAGTGAACGGTCGTCTCGTTCGCACACGGGGCCAAGAAAACACTAGTGGAATGGTTTGGTTTTCATGACCATGTCCCGAGTACTCGTTCATATACGAGGCCAAGACGGCACTGGTGGGATGGTTCGGTTTTCATGACCATGCCCTGAGTACTTGTTACAGTCACCTACCTAGATGGGCGGGTATTTATTATGAACACTACATACAAAGGCGAGGGGTGAGGGTGAGGCATTCGGTTGGCCTGAATTAGAAAAGGCTACACCCCAAGGCGAATGGCGTCAAACTATGTTTTGTTCATTTTATTTTCCGGTTTACCATTGCTTGTCGATTCCATATCACATCTACACCAGGTAGGTACCCAGGCGCCTCACTGCCTGTCTTGGGATTCAATTTCCCCTCACCAACATTCTGGTGCCCATTGTATTATACCGTTCGGTATTGACGAAAACATAGGTATCCATGGGTATCCCCTATTCTATCACAGCTATCGCTTATCTACATATTCAGAGAGCAATGGGACCGAATGACGTAGTCCTCGTCTAACCCCCCAAACGCTGATCTCATACAAAGCAAGTCGATGATATCAAAGGAACGCCTACTCGCTGTCGTTGGCGTCGTCGAGCGCTTCGTCCTCTTCCTCTGGGACATCAGACCCGTCCTCGCCATCCTCCCTCTCCTCCTCGCCCTCGTCCTCTTCTTCCTCTTCTTCCTCCTCGTCCTCTCCTTGCTCGTCGTCTTCGTCTTCCTCGTCTTCCTGCACTTCGTCCTCGTCCTCGTCCTCGCCTTCCTCGTCATCATCAACGTCCATCCTGGACGAGGAAGCACCCGCGGCGACGGCTGCTCCTGTTGCGGCCGCCGCGCCTGCCGCCGCAATCTTCTGCTTCTTGGAGCGTGGCGCCGATGGCTCGTCGTCGGTTGCCGCCGATTTGGTACTAGCCATCGTGGTATCGCCCTCCTCGCCGCCCGCGCTGAGCACGGAGGCGTCCGCCCCTGTCCCCTTCTTGGCGGCTGCGACCTTCTTCCGGTATGAAGAGCGCTTTGAGGCCTGAGTCTGGTTGAATTCTGTAGAAGAAAAAAGGATCCTGGTTAGAAAATTTGACAACAAAGTCACATCCATGCGCCGCGATATATGCATGGGCTCCGGATACGCACTTTCATATTCTATTTCGAGTTGTTCCTTCATGAAGCCAAACTCGATGTCGTCGAGAGCTTTTAGGACATCCTGTGGCATTATAGTCTTTTTGTTTTGTGCCAGGGTGATCTCGTTAGACCTAAAAGTGAGATACTAAAGTCAGAGAAGCTCCAGATCAGTGGCAAGGATGAGGGTAAACTGACGCATTGGCCAAATGGCTGATGAAGACGGTAGCGCTCTTGGTCATGGCCAGGATGGCATTTGCTTGGATTTGGGTGTTTGAGGGCAGCACACCCTTGGCTAGTCGAGTGATAATGGACTTGGGAAGAGACAGATCCTATGTCGTCCGTATGGTCAGTGACCTGTGCCCTGGTACATATGGAAAGCTGTCGGTTTGGTCTCACCTCGATGGGCATCGTATCCTTAACAGACTGTTGAGGATGGCCACCGCCGCCTTCCTTTGGCTTCTCCTTTTCCTTCTCCTTGTCTTTCTCGCTGCCTGCATCCTTTTCCATCTCCTTCTCCTTCTCCTTTGCGCTACTTCCACCTGCTTGTGCGGCGGCGGGCGGAGCTGGAGCAGGGGCTATATTTGCTGGGGCCGCAGACTTTTCAGACGTTGGTTTGCCCGTTTTTGCTGTCTTGGGGGATGCTGGAGAGGCCACGGCGGGAGGGGCGGCAACAGGTGCGTCTCCGTCGTTGTCGGCGAGCACAAACTTGGCTGCCGAGGCGTCGCTCTTGCGCGCGGCCGCAGCGGCGTCGCTTTTGCGGGGCATGGCGGCGACGAGGTCGGTGGCTATATGTCGGCGGTATGTGGTATTTGCGCCTACTAGTTGAGAAAAGGTCCAGGGCGATAATTGGGCCGTCGTGGTTATAGAATATGAGGCTGAAGTTTTCTAGCTGTCACCACCACTGGAAGCTCCGTCCTTCGTTCGATGGCGGCGGGCCAGTTGGAGGTGGGGACAAGAAATTCAGCGGCGCTCCGCCCACACGCGTCGTGGCTCGTCGTTGATGCTTGCTTGACGCGTAGAGTGGCAACCCTTTGCTGGGCTGGTGAGGGCGAATTGAACTCAGGCGATATTTGAACACTGCGCATATATATGAAGAATCACAAGTAGACAAGGTTGGTAACTCGGATTTTGTTTCGTGAAGGCGCCAAAAGGGTTCGTTGTTTGCTGCGGCAGAATCCCACGCCAACCCTCGCTCACTTCAATCGTCTCAAAACTCCCCAGCTCCGAGTGACGCCGCAGTGGATGCTGCAGGGATCTTGCCGATTGGCAGGGGTCTGGCGTCGGGCGGAAGTCACTTTCACACTTTGCAGCGCACATCCCCATCCATGCCAAAGACGGCAGAACCTTGGGCGAGCAGAAGCAGCAACAAGCTGACATTGAATTTCACCAACCCTGGACGCACCCGGGACGTGCGACCTGAGGCTATCCCCAAACCCCCAGAATTCGGCCAAGACACGACTCCTCAAGACATCCATCCAGCACGCGCGCGCTCTCCTCCCATCGACAGACTCGTTTCTAATGGCGAGGACCACAGACTCGCCAATGGACTCGCCGCTTTCGTCAATGGACGACTCTGATGCGTTCCACCACGACGCGCACGACGGCGAGAGCCTGCCGCCAGCCAAACGCCCGCGCCTGGGCGACGTCTCGACCGCATCGTCCGCCGTCGCCGCCGCCGACCACGACCCCCTCGAGGGCCTGTCGCCCGTCTCCTCCGACACCTCAGGCGACATCCCCAGCTCCCCAACCAACCCTTCCCGCCCCGAGGACGACGACCTGCAGGAGCAGGTCACCACATGTGCCTGGGAGGGCTGTCGCGCCGGCGATCTTGCCAACATGGACCGCCTGGTTGAGCACATCCATAACGACCACATCGAGGGCAAGCAGAAGAAGTATACGTGCGAGTGGGTGGGATGCGCGAGGAAAAGCATGCAGCATGCAAGCGGCTACGCGCTGAAGGCGCATATGCGCAGCCACACCAGGGAGAAGCCCTTCTACTGCTACCTGCCCGGTACGTCTGTCCGGCTCCTCTTGACCTGTGATGCTCTATTTGTTACTTCTGTGCCTCTGCTAACTCTTGCGCCCCACGACAGAATGTGACCGCTCCTTCACGCGTTCTGACGCTCTCGCAAAACACATGCGGACAGTGCACGAGACCGAGGCCCTGCGGCCATCAGACCCGGTTCCCAAGTCTATGCAGAACCAGGCTTCCGCAACAAAATCGGGCAAGCCGCTCATGATCGTCATCAAGACGCCGAGGTCGCACGCCGCCGGCCACAAGGACTCAACCATGGACGACGCCAGCTCCACCGGGGGGTGCGATGACTCCAACGGCCTGCTCACGCCCATGAACGAGGACCAAGGCTTCACGTCCGACGAGCTGCGCATGCCACTCCAGCGCTTGCATGGGCTCTGTCGCATGCAGCTCAAGTGGTCCGAGGAGCATGGCGAGGACCTGCGGCGCCAGATTGAGCGCGCCGAGGCCAGCTACAAGCGCGCTTGGCTCGAGAAGGAGATCCTACTGCATCAGGTCATCCAGAACGAGATGGGCTGGCACGAGCGCCGCCAGGCCGTCCTCAACGGTGATGCCGATGTCCACCTCGCCCCGGGTGCCATGCTCACCAACGGCGCCGCATTAGCAACTGCTGCCGACGCCGATGCTGCCGCCACCCCGAGCGCCGCACCTTCGGCCAATGGGGACGATGACGATGCAGCTGGTACTCTAGGGACCGAGGACGGCAACCAGGATTAGTCGTCCGGAACACGTCGCTCGCCCATCGATATCGATGCCCTTTCTCTCCGGGCGCCGAAAGCCGCCTCTACAGCGCGCGTCAACAGACCTGAGCCCCAGGCACAGCACTCCCGGGCTCAGCAGGCATCCTCGAAGGAGAGGAGTCAGGCATTCAGCGGATTCACCAAGGCTGACTGGAACGAATACCTGCGGTCTATGCGACGGTTCAGGCCGGACCCGCTATTAGGTCTAAGGCCTCGCACTCGCCCACCGACCGAGAACCAACAACAGGGCCCTCGGAATTAAGCCAGCCACAGCCGGGGAGTCAACGGAATAATATATATGGCGCCTCTACCCTTCGATTTGATTTTGTTTTGACACGCCTTGGCCCTTTGGCTGAGCTGAAGCACGCAGCACTCAGTCTCCATGTCGAGACCAGAGCCCGACAGGGCCCTCGGTTTGCAGCGGAGAGAATTGGGTAAATATGAAAAGGGAGCGGTCTTTGGTGTACATTTGGCTCCAGTGGCCTACGGGCAAATCAAGGGCGGGTGTTCCCTAAATGCGCTACCGTCGCGTGTACGAGTGTTTGTTTTGGTCCATTAGCGTCGGGTTTATGGGATACTATCATTGCTGGGGAAGTACCCCTTGGGCACATTTCGAAGGGCTTGGGCAGGAGCTTTAATGCATGATGCACGAGGCGGTTTGTTTGGGACAGCACTGGCGTTATTTTGCTTTCTCTCTTGCTATCTTCCCTGGTCTTATCCTTGTTCGGGATCATTTGACCACAGCCTCGGGACGGAAAACGGCGTCTCATTATCATAGAGCAGCGGTATGAGTTGATAATTGTACCAATATCCTATCTCCTGTGCTGTCCCCCCGACGAGTGAATGGTAATAGGACGGACCGCCGCCAGCCCTAGCGGCCTTTCCTCTTGTCCGCCTCCACGTTCCGGAAGGGGAAGCCGCTCGTCCTCTTGTCGGCGCCGGTGCGCTTGCTCCGCCTCCCCTTGTCGCCGGCGAACATGAGGCACCAGAGCCCAAAGGCGGCCAGGGCCGAGCTCCCCACCACGCCCAGCGCAAAGCCCGTCTCGCCGCTGAAGCTGAAGCGCAGGTAGCTGTAAAAGGCCGAGGCGGCGTGGTACTGGACGCGGCGTTGCCGATGTGAGTGTTTTTTGTTTACAGTTTTGTCGTTGGGGAAAGCGGAAGGAGAGGCAGTGGAAGAACATGGGGGCGGTGGTGACTTACGAGCGTCGACACGAGCACGACTGCGTCGGCATAAGGCGATATTGACCCTTCGGGGCCTATCGAGTCGAAAAAAAAAAGTACCAGTCTTGTCAACATCACCGTATCATGAGTCGTCGACGGGGACAACACAACACCCTGAGTTCCTTACCATCCGCCGCGGACGTTAGGGGTAGAGCCCCCGAGAGAACCACGGTCAACAACCCCACGCACAGCTGGGCGAGCCCGAGTTGGCGGGCATAGTAAATCTCGGCGGCTGTGCGACGACGGTTAGCCCACACATGTACACGCGCGTTTCATCCATGTTTTTATCCTTCTTGTCTCATACCGTTGGTAGGAGTGTATTCCGGACTGAGCATGCCGCTGATGAAGGATGGCCAGAGGAGGAGTGGGGCCGACTGCAGCCCCAACCAGGCAAGGCTGCCAAAGCTGTATGCCGAGATGGCCTGGAGGGTTGAGCGTGGGTATTAGTCGGCTGTATAACAAGTGATGTGTAATGGAGAGGGGATTGGCTTTGGCTGACCTCCATCTTTGTCTTTCTCTTTACTGTTTACAAGGATGGAAGACACGAGGAGGCAATGGGAATTGGGCAAGCTTGAAGAGTGAAATGCTGCGGCCTGGCTAACCAGGTGTACAAATAGCAATATTATAGCAAGGAGCTACAGTTAGAAACCCATTGGCGTTGCCGACTCAAATGCACTTATGAAGCACAGCACGGCACGATGAATGGTGGAGTGGCCACGAAAGAGGTTACGTCATCGTCGCGCTGAGTTCACGGCTCGCTAATCCAACGAGTCGGACAGGCTGGGCGCACCCCCCACTCACGTGCACGCCCACGCCCACGCCTCCCGCCACCACGGACGCGCCGATCTCGCTCGCATGGGAGGACGCTGCATCTCCGGCGGCATGGCGCAGAAAACTTGTCGATAAGGACTGTCTCCGGCTCGGCGCGTTGCTCTTGAGATTTGTCAGGTCGCATTTGCCCACCAGGTGTGCCCCTCCTCTGCGGCTCTCGCTACTCTATCCAACACATTAAAAACATCAAATCTTTCTTTTCAAAAAGTGGCAATTAGCCCGAGTTACAGCTTGAAACTCCCAGTCTGCCGCCTGTAGGACGGTAAGCGATCACAGAATAGGACCCCGACGCAAGCCGCATCTCGGAAAACCCCCACTTCGCCATCCCCTTCGAACCAACCCGGAACGCGACCCGCAGCTACCAAAAGCCATCTCATTCCCACCTCTCCCAGCGGCCGGGGGCGCGAGACGGTCAAAATGAGTGCCATCCTCTCGGTCGACGACCTAAACGACTTCATCAGCCCCGGCGTCGCCTGCATCAAGCCCGTTGAGACCCTACCGCCCAGCCAGCCCGCTGGCGATCCGACCCTCGAGCACGAGGTCATACTAGATGGCCAGCCGGGCGCGGCATCGTCGGCTGGCGCGGGCGCACCCGCCCAGATATCCCTGACCGACTGTCTCGCCTGCTCTGGCTGCGTCACGTCGGCCGAGGCCGTCCTGGTCAGCCTGCAGAGCCACTCGGAGCTGCTCAGCGTCCTGGACTCGGCCCCCGCACTGCAGGTCAGGGGGCCGGACGCCCAAGGTCGCTTCTCGGTCGACGGGCTGGAGGATCCGGCCCGCCGCCTCTTCGTTGCCAGCGTGTCGCCCCAGTCGAGGGCAAGTCTGGCCGCCGCCTGCAGCCAGGGGGTGTCCGAGAGTCAGGCCGGCCGCATGTTGGACAGGCTGTTGATGGGACCAGAGGGATTGATGGCTGGTGGCAAATGGGGGAACCGGTTCGAGTGGGTTGTCGACACCAATGCTGCGCGTGACGCCTGCCTGCTTCTGGGCGCAGATGAAGTCCTCGGGCGCAACCAGACAGGTGACGCGGCCTTGGCCAAGAAGCCCATTCTCACAGCATCGTGCCCCGGTTGGGTATGCTACGCCGAGAAGACGCACCCGCACGTCCTACCCCACCTGTCCCGCGTCAAGTCCCCGCAAGCCCTGACTGGCACCCTGATAAAGACGACACTGAGCCGCGTGCTCAACATTCCACCCGACCGCATATGGCATCTTTCCATCATGCCTTGTTTCGACAAGAAGCTTGAGGCTAGCCGCGAGGAGCTAACAGAAGCAGTCTGGGCCGGGAACGGTGCGCCAGGCCGTGGGACGCGCGACGTGGACTGTGTTATCACCAGCAAGGAGATATTTATGCTCACTGAATCGAGGAGTATCGACTTTTTCAGCTTGCCCGCCTCGTCGTTGCGACAGCAACTATTTCCCGACAGCACCATCAATGAATTTTTCTTCCCACAAAACAGCAGAAAGAGGCCGTTGCCGGCCGCGGGCAGCTCCGGTGGGAACCTTTATTACATCCTGCAGGACGTGCTCTCGGCGCACGCAGGATCTAGGCTCGAGACGGCCAGAGGCAGGAATGTGGACGTGGTCGAGTACACTGTGGTGGCAGCCTCCGGAGAGACTCTGTTCCGAGCGGCAAGGTACTATGGCTTCCGCAACATTCAGAACCTCGTCCGAAAACTAAAGCCAGCCAAGCCGTCGCGAATGCCGGGGGGCAAGCCCTTCGGTAGTGCTAGGAGAGTGCCGACGGGCCGGGGCGGGGGCGGGCCCGGGGGAGCTGGAGGCGTGGAGCATGCATATATTGAAGTCATGGCCTGTCCTGGAGGCTGCACCAACGGGGGCGGCCAGGTGAAAGCAGACGATCAAGTCGTTGCGACCCGAAGGGGGTTTCCCGGTAAACCAGGCCCACAGGAGCAGAAGCAGTTTCTGGCCGAGGTGGACGAGGCGTACTTCTCGGCCGACGACTCGACGGCTAGTGATGCGAGAGACGAGCCATCCGGGACAGCCAGTCAAGGGGCAGACGGCAGCGGTGCGCCTGGATGTGCCAGTTTAGTCGACGGGATTAACCAATCCTTTGTGCGAAACGCACTGGCGCATTGGGCGGAGATCACCGGCGTGCCCCTGGATAAGCTTGTGTTCACCAGCTATCGTGAGGTGATCAGCGACGTTGGAAAGACCAACATTACCGATAGTGAGAGGGTAGTTCAGCTAGCCGGCAAGATAGGAGGCGGCTGGTGATATCCGGGAGAGTGTTTGGTGGGCATCACCGTCAGCCGGCTCGCCCAATCTTGATAGCGAGGCAACCATAGCAGCATAGCGTACGAGGCGCGTAGCATATGAAATCATACGGTTAGGGCATATGGTCAAGGCATACGAGATTGACGTCATATGTCAGATCCGCCACCTGGCCTGGCGAACCCAAAGCCGCCCCTGCCACCAGCCTCGGGACCCTTAGGCGAGCGCAAGGCCTGCAGCCGGACCTGGTCCTCCTCGCGCGGGGTGGTGGTGCCCGACGAGGAGGCAGCCTCGCCGCCGCCACGCCTCTGTTGCGGCTTGGGAGAAGAGTTTGGGTCGTAGAGCTCCCGCGTGCCCGGGGGCCGGCGCATCTGGCCGTCGTTGGCGTTACCGCGATCGTGGCTGCGGTTGTCGCCTCTGTAGCCTCCCCGCCCGCCCCTGCCGCGGCCGCGATTCCCGTTTTGGCGCCCGCCCGCGTTGCCCGAGGCGGCCTCCGTCTGGTGGTGGTGGTGGTGCTGCTGCTGCTGCAGGGGAGGGGTGACGGCGCCCGGGGTCGAGGCGCCCGAGGATGCGGCGCCGGGCCTCGCCGCTGCCGCCGGCTCGCCGAATATCTTGGCGCGGGCCTCGTCGTAGCGTCGCTGCCTCTCCTCGCGCTCGCGCTGCTGGCGGAGGCGGGCCTCCTCGGGTGACGGCTGTGAGGCGGCCAGCCGCCTCGCCTCGTCGTCGTCGTCATAGTCGTCGCCGCCGCCGGCTCCTGGTGCCCTAGCTGGAGTGGGCCGGCGGCTGAGCACCTTCATGGAGGGCTTGAAGGCCGGCGCGGCGGGGCTGACGTGGTTCGTGGCGGGGAGGTACTGGGGCTGGTCGTCGGGCGCGTCCCTGGGGAGGAAGCTCAGCGGCGTCAGCGGGGTTGGCGGGGGTTTGGAGGGGGG